AGCACTTCTGTCTTCTAAGACTTTTGGAACCATCAGAATTTTCCTTTTTCCATGATCTCCCCATAACTGCTTCCCCTCCCAGGACCCAGCAGAGTTCCTGCTATTGTCAGTGTTTTGAGAAACCTACTTTTATTATAGGGTTCTTGTAGAGCACCTAGATTGTGGGGATATTTTCCCAGTTCAATTTTTTTCTTTTATTATTCTAAGCCCTCTATCTTGTTTCTATAAGAGAATTAGGTGATCAGAAAATAAGCCTTTGAAGGGATATGGAAGTCATAGAAACACTTCTGCTCTGTTTCTGGGAATGTGCCTGGCATATTTTATAGAACAAAATAGCAGGTTTAGTCAAATTAAACATGCATAATTCATGAGCCCAAATCCCACTCTTGTATACACATTCCAAAGAAATTCTCATACATCTCACATATGCAGTGCTGGTAAAAAACATCTCATTTATTTATATCTAACTTTTAACCCAACAACAGAGAATCTATGCCCTTTTCATGTAATATTCAAGAGGCCTGCCCAAAGCATGATCTCTGATAAAGGTACCAAGAACACAATGGGGAAAGGACAGTTTCTTTGACAAATAGTGTTGGAAAAACTGGATATCCATACATGAAAGAATGAAGTTGTTCCTTTGTCTTACACAATACACAATACACAAAGCTTAACTCAAGTGGACAAAGACCTAAATGTAAGATCTGAAACTATGAAGCTTCTCGAAGAAAACGTAGGGGAATATCATCAGGACATTGGATTTGTCAGTGATCTCTTGGATATGACGCCAAAATCAGGCAACTAAAGCTAAAATAAGTGAGACAACAGTAAGCTTTAAAACTGGTGTGCATCAAAAGAAACAGTCACCACGGTGTAAAGGCAACCTACGGAGTGGGAGAAGATATTTGCGAATAATAAATCTAATAAAGGGTTAATAATCCAGCATAGATAATGAACTGCTACAACTCATCAACAAAACACATAACCCAATTAAAAATGGGCACAGGACTTGAATAGACAGTTCTCCAAAGAAGATATAGAAGTGGTCAACAAGAAGATGCTCAAGACCAGTAATCATAAGAGAAATTCAGATAAAAACCACAGTGAGATATCTCCTTTAACCCATAGGAAGACTACTACTGAAAGAACAGAAAATATCAAGTATTGGCAAAATGCAAAGAGACTGGAACTCTTGTGCACTATTTTTGAGAATATATAATGGTATAGTCATTGTGGGAAACAATGTGGAGGTTTCTCAAAAAATTGGAAAAGGAATTACCCTATGACCCAGCAGTACATGGGAATATATCCAAAATAATTCAAAGCAGGATCTTGAAGAGATGTTTACACACTCACGTTCACTGGAACATTATTCACAATAACCAAGTCATATGTCCATTGTTGGAAGAAGGGAAAAAGAAAATATGGTATACAAACAAGGGAATATTACACAGACATCGAAAAGGAGGAGGTCCTGCCATCTGCTATAACATAGATGAAGCTCAAGGGCTTTTATGCTAAGTGAAACAAACCATCATAAAAACACATACTGTGTTATTTCACTCATATGGGGTATCTAAAAGTGGTTAAAACCATAGAAACATTAAGTAAAAAGTGGTTGCCAAGGTCTGGAGGAGAGAGCAGGGGAAATGAGTGTTTAATGTGTCTTGAGTATCAGTTTTGCAAGATGAAAAAGTTCTAGATATCTTTTGCACAACAGTGTGAATACACATCATTATTGAACTATACACGTAAATAGGATTAAGATGGTAAATAATGTTATGTGTTTTCTATGACACTGTAAAAAAATTTACCTTACTAAGTAGCTTCCATCTGATCAAAGCCAATGGGTGAAGTGTTATAAGGTGAATACAGGCATGACCAAAGGTTGACTCTGTTGTAATCACCACATAATCCTAGTAATATGGTGATACCCACCAAAAATAAGTCAGTGAATGCTAAAATAGACTAATGAGTAAATAGATGCATTAACAGATAGTGAAAGAAGAATAAAAAATACTAAAGCCTATGTAGTTTAACATTTTTTCAACAGAAAATAAGCCTGTTCCATATACTGAATATGTTTTCCCAATCGTATGGCAGCCAAACTTACTTTAAAAAGAGGCTATGTAGACGCATAGAAAGAATGACTTAACACCTCTACACAAAACTGTTCAGGTATTGCTGGATGGTAATGGGTGCCTTCTAATTTTTATGGATAGTTATATTGTCTAAGCATCTCACCATGAGCATGCATTAATTATGAGATATAAAAAAAATGAACTACATTAAAAAAAAAAGAGAGGTGCTGTATACATTGCTTTCCCAGGCTTTAAAACCAGGGAAGTTTGTCATCCACCTTTCTGTGACTATGCAGTTGGCATATGCAATTACTGAGCTATGTGTCATGTAGATATGTCAGGGAAAACAAGATAACTCCCTATAAGTATCAGAAGGGCAGAAAATAAATAACAAAATTTTAAAAAGAAAGGGCACAAAAAGCATTGGAAATGGTATTTCATTCAGCTCCATTTCTTGATGGAATTTTTTTGGACTTAATCATTAATCATATTTCAAATGTCTAAAAATGCATAGAGTAGTAGTTTTGTAGAGAGAAAATGATGTTAGACAAATTCAGTTTATTTTTATGACAGAGTGACCAGGGAGAAACCCTACGTTTAATAGATTGGAAATTGAGACCAGTATGTCCCCCATTACAATGGCCCCAGCGTGCTAGAAAGTATGATATTAGGTAAGTACATGTACACAAAAGGCAGTGATCAAAAGTTCATTGTCAGTATCAGAGGATATAAAAAATATTCTTTCTTTTCAGTTTTAGAATTCTATGTAATAATTATATGAGGGATTGAAAGGCCTGAGTAGAGAGTACTTCTTGGTTGAAAAGAGTCAGGTAAAGTGACTTGTTAATACTTTGGAGTAGAAAAGTAAAAATCTAGTGCCATCATACCAAGTAGAAATTACAGGCATATTTCATGTACCTTCTTTTCTTATAGTTAAGCTTAGGATAATTGTCTTTAGGGAAATCATAGCATATAAAAAGTGAGTGTAAATGACTGTGTACAAACTATGCAGTGTAGCATTATCTGAGTAAGTAATGCAATCTTACTTCAAGATGATTTTTAAAAAATTCAACTCAGGACAAATATATAATATGCTAAAAGATTACTACCCAGAATGTTACAGAGATTTTATATAAGCCAAGTGAAATCATTTCGGGAAAGATGCTAATTAAAAATAAAATAAAGAACAAAGCTGTTGGAAGCAAGATAGTATCCTCTTAACCTCCACAGTAGTCAGATCTTTAAAAAATAATTGTTCCAAAGTACAATATAAATTAATATGAATTAAGAATTTCTGTCCTTAATAACTATAATCACCTTTCTGTACTTCAAACTAACAGAAACAGAATGTTCTTGTTCTAGCTCTAGAGAAATAAAAAAAAAAAAACCTGTCACATTCACATTCTTAATTTGGTAGTGCTTTGAAATAGTACAATTGGCCAAGAGCAAGGAGGGAAGAAATATTTACAGGTGCTTTTATGGTAATAATAATTGTCCAAGAGGCATACAAGAAATAAAAGAAATGAACTTTTCAAGATTTCTACAAAGTCATCGATTTTACATAGTGAATTCCATGAAGCGACTCTACCTACATACACTTTTCTCACTTTAAGTCCAAGTCAGCACGATTTCTCAGCTACACTGATAGTTTGGTTTCATTGTTCGCTTGCTCTCTGTTAGAATTGGTTTTGCGTACTACCTGTGTTGTTATCTCTACAAATAAAAAGCAAATATTGCTGCCTCCCTTCCCCACTAAAACCACTCCTTGGCTTCCCATGACATTCACAGTAAATGTAGAAAATGTCTTGTGTCCCACAAGGTCTTAGATGGTCAGTCCTATAACCCACCCATCAAACCTCTTCCCAACATTCGCTCTTACTTCACCCATACAAGGCTTCTTTGTTTCTTGGTATTTCAAGAGTATGTCCAGCTGCTTCTCCATCAGATTGTAAAACGAGGCTTCTCGGTCCTCTTAGGGCTTACTCTTTCTCACCATGCAGGGCTCTGCTCAGATTTCACCCTGTATCTGAAGCAGCGGGCCCACTCCTTGACTTTACTCTTCTTTATATTCGTTATAACTTTACTGTATATATTCTTTACCTCCACACGTAAGTGTATTTACGCACACACATTCATTTTTGTAATTGTTTATTTTTTTCCATCACATCATACATTCCATAAATACAGAGACATTTTCTTGTTTTCTCTTCCATCTTTTGTACTAGTAGGAGAGATGCAAAAATATTTGTGAACTAAATTTGATTTCAAAAGGAAAAATATGGATGAATAGTATACATTTACTCAAAAATGTTCATTTTGGGAACATTTTTATAGGGCAAAATTAGGAACTCCTCTTAAACATCTGCACAGATAATTTTGTTGATAAATATAAATAATAGCATTTATAGATATCTATAACTTTCGTGTGACCCCCTTTTTTATTGCTTAGAATGTAAAATAACCTAGTGTTCATCATTACCCTATTTTGGATAATGAATTATTAACATTTTCAAATATTTTTTTCTTAGGGATAATTTCAAGTACAAATAAAACACAGAGCCTTAAAATACATTTTGTTGTATTCATTGCTCCTAGGAAAGTTATATTTGCTTAGATATTTTAAATAGTTAAAGGGCAGTATTTCCCTGTATTTCATTTGAAAATGTTGAAAACTAATTAAATGCATCATTTGTGTCGCAGAAGACATTACATCATCAATTCTCAACTTTAGTTTTAGTTGACAGAGGCCATCTTACATATGGAGCAGCATTCGCACAGCTCTCAACAAGGTGCCATTTCAGTCCATTTATCAAGATTCTTCAAAATCTTATTTAAGATGGGGAGTACTAAGAACAATCAGCATATTTATGAGGGCCTCTCATTTTATTTACTGTTTTCTTCTTGTGAATTTTTTTTCAGAGATTGAAAAATTTCAAGGTTCTGATGGGAAAAAGGAAGATGAGGAGAAGAAATACCTTGATGTTATCAGCAACAAAAACATAAAGCTCTCAGAAAGGGTATTGATCCCCGTCAAACAGTATCCAAAGGTACAACAATATACGCTTTGTTCTCATAGATTTAAGAAAAAAATGATACAAATGAGGTGATATTTTATTCATTGCCTTTCATGCAATCAATATTTAAAGCTTCATTATATTAGTAAATAAAAATATACTGACACAGAAAGGAAAACTCTGAAGGTACGATGATGAGAGTAATTCTCAGTTTAAGGCTGTATAGCATTTTTATTCTGTAAATGTGGGAAACATAAGTAGGTACTGTAATCATTTATTTAACATGTAAATTATTCAACAGTTTGTCCAAATATGCACACCCACTTGCTTATATTTTGGTTCATGTTAAAATGTACATTCTTATTATCAAAGGGAGTAGAATTTTTCATGATACCTAATATATAGCATTAGCCAATCAGCAGGGAATTACTATATCCAGGAAAGCAATATAGTCTGCTTTAGACCCTTGGATTATAACCTCTAGTTTCTCTTTCTTGAATTATAAAATAATTATAAAAATAATTGTGATACTGTTCTCTTGAAAGTATTTTTTCACTAGACATTTTGTTATCATATGAGATGTGTATCATCAGAATCATGATGATAAAATATAACACACAATGGCATGGTTTCACCAGTTATAATCATGAATTACAACACGTGAAAAGAGTTTCTTTCTATCTTTTTTTTATCTCAAATAAATTGAGCTCAAGGTGGAAACTCAAAGATTCAAGCTGGTAACTTAATTTCTGAAGAGGGAGTCTGAAACAAAGACCATGTAATTATCTTAAGAATAAAGATTAAAGAAATAAATGCTGCAGCTTACCAATTGCCTTCTAATATGATAAATTTTAGTAAATATAATTAAGTAGACTGCTGTGTTTATAATTATTTTAAATAAGGATAAACTGTTACAGCCCACCAAACCATAAAATTTAACTTTCAAAAGATGAGGCTTTGGGTATGCAAGTTTTTTTGTTGTGTTACTTTTCAGCTAGGTTTATTCTATTGTAAGAAAGGTGCATTCGCTAGATATATACTTTTAATTTAAATTTTGTTAGATTTGCTTTATAATCATGTTTAATGAATATTAAGTTGAACACTCATAGAAATGTACATGAAAATTTTTACATGGTAATGAAATATGGTAGAAATAATGAGGTGGTTTTAAAAATGTGGCTTTTAAAAAAAGAACTTGATTAACCCATTATTATCTAGAGTACAAGTTTCTTCCTCTAGCCCCTGTATTTAAATATTCTATAACTTGACACTTATTTCTCAGAATAACACTTGTTTTTTCTCTGGATATGGGAAAGCCAGTGACAGACTCAATATCTGCTTCCCAGTAAAGGGCAGCTCTTTGTCTCTGACCAAATGAGGGTGGAAAGGGTGAAAGGCATTTAAGTCCTGATGGCTCTTCAAGTGACAGTATGAGTGATTTATGCTGAGTATTACTATATTTGATTCATAATAGTGAATCTTGAAACAACATTTCATGGCATCTAATTTTTGTGTGAGGTTTAATTTCATAATTTATAGTAAGATGTTCAAATGACAAAACTGCCTGTTTATATTGAAATAAACCATGTCTCACTGGAAAATTATTGTACCTCTTGAAATTTTTAGAACCACGGAATGCTTAAAGTGGGACGGGAACTAATCTTGAAAATCACAGAATATATAAAACATTATTTTACAGATGAGGTAACTGAGAAATTGGGTATTCCTCAAAGACATATCTTTGTTGTAGATAAAGATACTTAGGGAAGAACCTATTATTTTAGGTTCTTCATTTTTGTGAGCCATTACATTTTTAACTTAACTGATAATGCTCACACATTTGTATTGCTTTTTCATATAAAATGTGGATGAATGTGAAAAATGATAGTTCCTAATTATTATTAGTTTTATGAAACTTTACCAAATAAGAAGTTATGCCTTAGGGAATTCATTTTTAAAGCTGTGAATAGAATGCCAAAGCACTTTATTTTTTAAAGGGATATACATTTTATGCATTCAATTATCACACATGAGAGGATGCTTGGGGCCTTTTACAGAAAAAGAATACTGAGAAACACAGCAGAATCATCTGTCTAGTTGATGTACATTTGTTTTTGTTTGTTTTTATACAATAATAGTAACATTAAAATCAGCCATTTGAAATGTATTTTATTCCAAAAGTGGTGATTCTCTCCTGCTGAGTGATTACACCCCGCTTCTCACACACAATTCAGTGGGATTGAGTCAAGATCATGATCCCTAAACTTGAGCCGTATTTGATGTACATTTGTGAGCTGTAAAATACATTGGTATGGTGTGATACAGTGAGCTGTTGAACAGAGCACAACAGTATTTATGGATTTAAAGTTTAATCTTTTATAATAAAAAGTGATTTATCCCTCTGGGGGTACATTGGAGAAGACCTGCGCTTCACAACCCCTCTTGGAGCCATCTCCCCCCTTGATACCTGCTGCCTGTGTGAACTGGTGACTGGTGTGGAGATGCCACAGTCCCTCTCCCACAAAGAGCAATAAATAACTATGGGAGTTCTTGAGGAAATGACCTTATCCAGACTTTTCCACATAACCTTTTTGGATGGATTTTGTTTCAATTAGTCTCCAATTTCAAGTTAATTCGCTGACTTTGTTGAGTAATACAAAGAATGAAAGAAATTTAAGATTTCAAATTATATAAAACATAAGAATGCTGTTTAACTACATTCAGACTGATTTATCCAGCTCAAGTGCTTTATGTTTAATTACTTAAGTTGGGGGAAATACGCCATATTAAAGTTATCTTAATGAGTAGTTTTTCTTACTGTTTTTAATATTTTTTTTGTAGGAAGATTGATAAAGAAATAAGCTTTGTTTGCATTGTTTCCATTTGAAAATATTTTAGAATCAGAGCAATTATTTCTTGATTGTTAAGTTTCTAAGGAGGTAACGTGGCAATGTGTGCCTCCGTAATACTAAGAAGACCCAGGAGAGATTGATACACAAAACTCACCGTCTTTTAACATTAACCCTTCCTCTCTAAATCTACACATCCTCTATTTCATAATCCAACGCACATTTTTTTTTTCACATTTTAACGTCTCCAACTGGTATGCCTATTATAATCAGAATAATTTTACAGTTGCTGTCAGGCAGGTAGTGGTGATAAACTTGTTTTTGTCTGTAAATTTTGCACGTTATAGCTTCCTCCATGGGGTTGTTTGTAGTTTAAAAAATACATGTATTGAGTTTAGTTGCTGTTTGAAATGTCTTCAGAGATTGCATCGTGGTTTACTGTTGACATGCAATGCTATTACACATACAAAAAGGAAAAGAACCATAGCTTGGCCTATAAATTTGATATTAATTAAGATGATATTTATCCTTGGAAGAATGAGATAAATGCTGTAGTTTCTTGGCTCTCAACAAACAAGTGCCTTAAAGGACATAAGAAACATAGTTAAGTGGGTGAAACTGTATTATATTTTGTTACTGTTACATATGCCAAAGAAATGCCTCTCATAAGCTATAAGAATGAGAGAGCGTTAGATGGGAAGGTGCCCCCTCCATGTGCAGAATCTGCTTGTTGCTACTGTCCGTTTGCCACCTGGGCAATTTAGCCTCTCAACGCCTTTTAAAAATGTCTTTTTGATGTTGCCTTCAGTATTCTCTGAAATNAATGAAAGAAATTTAAGATTTCAAATTATATAAAACATAAGAATGCTGTTTAACTACATTCAGACTGATTTATCCAGCTCAAGTGCTTTATGTTTAATTACTTAAGTTGGGGGAAATACGCCATATTAAAGTTATCTTAATGAGTAGTTTTTCTTACTGTTTTTAATATTTTTTTTGTAGGAAGATTGATAAAGAAATAAGCTTTGTTTGCATTGTTTCCATTTGAAAATATTTTAGAATCAGAGCAATTATTTCTTGATTGTTAAGTTTCTAAGGAGGTAACGTGGCAATGTGTGCCTCCGTAATACTAAGAAGACCCAGGAGAGATTGATACACAAAACTCACCGTCTTTTAACATTAACCCTTCCTCTCTAAATCTACACATCCTCTATTTCATAATCCAACGCACATTTTTTTTTTCACATTTTAACGTCTCCAACTGGTATGCCTATTATAATCAGAATAATTTTACAGTTGCTGTCAGGCAGGTAGTGGTGATAAACTTGTTTTTGTCTGTAAATTTTGCACGTTATAGCTTCCTCCATGGGGTTGTTTGTAGTTTAAAAAATACATGTATTGAGTTTAGTTGCTGTTTGAAATGTCTTCAGAGATTGCATCGTGGTTTACTGTTGACATGCAATGCTATTACACATACAAAAAGGAAAAGAACCATAGCTTGGCCTATAAATTTGATATTAATTAAGATGATATTTATCCTTGGAAGAATGAGATAAATGCTGTAGTTTCTTGGCTCTCAACAAACAAGTGCCTTAAAGGACATAAGAAACATAGTTAAGTGGGTGAAACTGTATTATATTTTGTTACTGTTACATATGCCAAAGAAATGCCTCTCATAAGCTATAAGAATGAGAGAGCGTTAGATGGGAAGGTGCCCCCTCCATGTGCAGAATCTGCTTGTTGCTACTGTCCGTTTGCCACCTGGGCAATTTAGCCTCTCAACGCCTTTTAAAAATGTCTTTTTGATGTTGCCTTCAGTATTCTCTGAAATATATCAGACCTTTTCTTCAGTTAAATTTGCCCCAGGGCCCACTTTCTATTTCTTGACATGAGTTACTGCCAACTTTTTAAAGTGATAGATCACCAGGAATGTAAATCAGCCCCAAATTTGGCCTCTTTTAAGATCAAACGCACCGCTTTCCCTTGTGATGTCTTTCTAGTCAATTCCTTATGTAGATTAATGCAGAAAATTAAAGTTCCAAAATATGTTAGAAATCACTACACTTGCTTTTTAGTGAATAGCAGTATTTCACCTATTCTGCTCAGTCCCAGAGAGAGGAGCTGCCACCCATGCCCGGTTGGAAGCAGTCCCTGCAACCTGGCATTTCTTCCCAGAGCTTGTTT